TTCATGTGTCATTTTGCCTGGGGTGTCATAGCCTTGTAGACAGCAAGGCTATGTTTACACTGCGGAGATGATTGATTCTTCGGAAGTCGATCTTCTAGATTTCCATTTATTGGGGCTAGTGTAGACCTCCAAATTGAACACTGAGGTATCCTCCCCTGGCCTCCTGTGTTCCTGTTTCTGTAAAAAGTAAGGGAAGTAGATGGAAGTGTGTGCTCCAGTCAGCCTCCCACAGTATAGATGCTGTGGTGACTCAGCTTAAGATAAGCCAAATCCAGCTTTGCATTTTGCATAGCTCAACAGCGTACCTTAAACCAACCTGCTTAGTCTAGTGTAGACATAGGCTGCTAATATCTCTCTCATTTTCAAGTGATTGTGAAGTTAAAATTATACTCTTGGTTACTGCCTTTGAAAAGGGTGGGAATCCCAGTGGGAACATAGACAAGCTCTAAGCAGTTTTGGATTCTACATGGGTTTCTGCTGGTGCCCGTCTAAATCGTTGCTAATGCTGGTAATGGCCTTGGAGTCAATGATTTCTCTGCTTCCTAGAAATATTAACAGGGACTTTGGAGATTGCATCATCACAATCTGTCCCAGGATCCTGAAACTACAATCCAGATCTAAATTGACATAGCTGTCTGATCTAGCTCACCAACCTATATCATATATATAGTAGCCCAATGTCTGAGAGTCTGTAACGCTGAAATGCTGGCTGTTCCTTCTGGGCGCCGCTGTCGCTGAAATGCTGGCTGTTCCCTCTGGGCGCCGCTGTCGCTGAAATGCTGGCTGTTCCCTCTGGGCGCCGCTGTCGCTGAAATGCTGGCTGTTCCCTCTGGGCGCCGCTGTCGCTGAAATGCTGGCTGTTCCCTCTGGGCGCCGCTGTCGCTGAAATGCTGGCTGTTCCCTCTGGGCGCCGCTGTCGCTGAAATGCTGGCTGTTCCCTCTGGGCGCCGCTGTCGCTGAAATGCTGGCTGTTCCCTCTGGGCGCCGCTGTCGCTGAAATGCTGGCTGTTCCCTCTGGGCGCCGCTGTCGCTGAAATGCTGGCTGTTCCCTCTGGGCGCCGCTGTCGCTGAAATGCTGGCTGTTCCCTCTGGGCGCCGCTGTCGCTGAAATGCTGGCTGTTCCCTCTGGGCGCCGCTGTCGCTGAAATGCTGGCTGTTCCCTCTGGGCGCCGCTGTCGCTGAAATGCTGGCTGTTCCCTCTGGGCGCCGCTGTCGCTGAAATGCTGGCTGTTCCCTCTGGGCGCCGCTGTCGCTGAAATGCTGGCTGTTCCCTCTGGGCGCCGCTGTCGCTGAAATGCTGGCTGTTCCCTCTGGGCGCCGCTGTCGCTGAAATGCTGGCTGTTCCCTCTGGGCGCCGCTGTCGCTGAAATGCTGGCTGTTCCCTCTGGGCGCCGCTGTCGCTGAAATGCTGGCTGTTCCCTCTGGGCGCCGCTGTCGCTGAAATGCTGGCTGTTCCCTCTGGGCGCCGCTGTCGCTGAAATGCTGGCTGTTCCCTCTGGGCGCCGCTGTCGCTGAAATGCTGGCTGTTCCCTCTGGGCGCCGCTGTCGCTGAAATGCTGGCTGTTCCCTCTGGGCGCCGCTGTCGCTGAAATGCTGGCTGTTCCCTCTGGGCGCCGCTGTCGCTGAAATGCTGGCTGTTCCCTCTGGGCGCCGCTGTCGCTGAAATGCTGGCTGTTCCCTCTGGGCGCCGCTGTCGCTGAAATGCTGGCTGTTCCCTCTGGGCGCCGCTGTCGCTGAAATGCTGGCTGTTCCCTCTGGGCGCCGCTGTCGCTGAAATGCTGGCTGTTCCCTCTGGGCGCCGCTGTCGCTGAAATGCTGGCTGTTCCCTCTGGGCGCCGCTGTCGCTGAAATGCTGGCTGTTCCCTCTGGGCGCCGCTGTCGCTGAAATGCTGGCTGTTCCCTCTGGGCGCCGCTGTCGCTGAAATGCTGGCTGTTCCCTCTGGGCGCCGCTGTCGCTGAAATGCTGGCTGTTCCCTCTGGGCGCCGCTGTCGCTGAAATGCTGGCTGTTCCCTCTGGGCGCCGCTGTCGCTGAAATGCTGGCTGTTCCCTCTGGGCGCCGCTGTCGCTGAAATGCTGGCTGTTCCCTCTGGGCGCCGCTGTCGCTGAAATGCTGGCTGTTCCCTCTGGGCGCCGCTGTCGCTGAAATGCTGGCTGTTCCCTCTGGGCGCCGCTGTCGCTGAAATGCTGGCTGTTCCCTCTGGGCGCCGCTGTCGCTGAAATGCTGGCTGTTCCCTCTGGGCGCCGCTGTCGCTGAAATGCTGGCTGTTCCCTCTGGGCGCCGCTGTCGCTGAAATGCTGGCTGTTCCCTCTGGGCGCCGCTGTCGCTGAAATGCTGGCTGTTCCCTCTGGGCGCCGCTGTCGCTGAAATGCTGGCTGTTCCCTCTGGGCGCCGCTGTCGCTGAAATGCTGATGCTAATGTTACATTTAAGAAGAATCTTCCATTCTAAATCCTTGTACCCAGTTGCTGATAACATTACTTCCTGTGATTTCTCTGCCCCTGTCAGCTGGAAACGTTTGTACAGCGGGAAGGATTTAGGAGATTTCTGCAGGAGTTCACTGACAGACCCAATAGAAAGGGGATTGGATCCGAGTGTCACATCTTTCAGCTGCCCTTGTGTCTCTTCTCAGGGATTAGGTGTTTCCCTAGGAACTCCCCATTGCCTTTCTCAAGGTAACTGTCCTTCTTCCTTCCAAAGCCCTGCATTTCAGCTACATTCCCTACTACAGAGAAAGTAGCTAGATTCCTTCTCACCTCATACGATGGATCTGCTGGAGCGGGTCACTAGATGGCGCGGTGAGTTGTTTCTGTCCAACACCTGAAAGCCTTAGAGCTCAGGGCATCTCTTCAGCTCCCTGCCCTGGCAGGGCTCCCAGTAAAGCACTGAACTGACATGAAATATTCACACTGCCTTTTTAGGGCAGTAACATGGAGGTGAATAATGTAAATAAAGAAAGTGATTGAAAACCAGAAGGGAAAAAAATGCTGCCATCTCTATCAATCTGTGGGTATTACAGGCTGGAGAGGGCAGGCAATATAAGTTTCTGGGGCTGATAGTCTGCCCCCAAATAACAGGTAGCATTTGCACCGAGAAGTTGGTTGTTTCACAGAATGGGACAAAGCAGGGAGGTTTTTGTACTGGTCTGTGTCACTGCCTTGTTCAAAATAATAATCTGCAGCATCTTCCGTTTGAACATTTCTGATTGTGAGAGTGAAATCAGTCCCAGACCCACTGCCTGTGAACCGGTCTGGGATCCCAGAGGGATGGATGGAAGCATCATAGATAAGGAGCTTTGGCGCTTGTCCTGATTTCTGCTGGTACCAGGCTAAAACGTTAGTCCTTCTAAAGGTGAGACTGGAGCTGGCTTTGCAGCGGATAGTGACTGTCTCTCCAAGAGACACTGCCAGGTATTCTGGTGTCTGAATCAGCACCATGTCCCCTCTGGTAACTGGAATTATAAAGAAAAGGCAATTCAATCTGTTAGATATACACACAGCTGGTCAAACTGTACAATGCTCTCTCAGGTTTAAGATTCTAATTGGCATCTTTCTATAATTACTGTAGCTCACCACCTAGCCATCGTGCTAAAAGATGAAACTCATTCATATGAAACCCCTTTCTCTATTGCGCTCAGCTTTTTCATGTGCTTTTTTTCTTTGGCAGGTTTAATAAGATAAATGTTCTGTTCATTAGGGACAGTCTGTGAAATGCTCTGATATGCAAATGCTCTGCTTTGCTTTATTGCGCCTGTACACGTGCAATGAGTCTCCATGTTGAATCTAGCTTGTCCCTGGGCTCAGCCACCTCCCAGCTCTGTACCAGTGCCAGTGAACTACCAAGCTCCCCCGCCCCCCTGTGAGCCAAGACTGGCCCAGTTTCTTCACTGGTCCAAGGGCTCAGCTCTGGGGTTAGAGCCAGGTCTTCCTCCACAGGACATAAGAGACCACCCAGATCTGGAGATACACAGGAGTCCATCCAGGGGGTAGAGAGGAGCTGGTGGGCAGGTCCAGAGGGCAGAGGAGAGCCCTCAGCAGTCCTGTGAGCCAATAGGAGCGAGCCATGGGCAGATGGGAAGGGACTAGAGGCAGATAGCAGACTGGTGGGACCTCACGATGCAGCATCAGTACAGCAGGCTAGACTGAGCTCCCTGCAGAATCTGGGCCTGGCCCCGTGGTGCCACTGGTGTCAGTGTAAACCCAATACTGCTCTGGTGTTCAGAAACTTGGCCCAGCCTCTCCAAAAGGCAGTGCTGCCAATAAAGCCCATGACTAGGTCTGTTTGAATCCTTCAATGCTCAGGGGAGGCAGAATGTAACAATTATTTTTAGGAATTGGGGAGTAAAATAATTTCTGCAGGGGAAAAAAGCTCCCATTCATTTAACGCAGCAAAAACCTTCAATATTGCAAGAAATGTCTCTAGTCGCAAACTTTTCTGGCAGGACAGTTTGTTGTATTGTACTTATGTAACCAGATAGTGCTCTTACACAGCCTTGCTTTTATACAGCCTTCCAAGTTGTTTTTCCGAGTGTAGAAATAAATATAAAATTCTGGCAAGACCTGCTGCATTATGATTAGGCCAGGGAGCTGTGTGGGTAGAGGGCGAATTTGCTCTTTGTCTTGGTCTCTGATCAGAGCTCATATTTGAGGCAGATCTGCTTCCTGTGATATGGGCACTAAATTGGGATGAGATTCTAGTAAGAGGTATTTGCCTGCATGCTGTTTGTGACCACCACTGTTTCAGGACAGGCGTTGACATGTAAAGAAAGTAACTTACAGTTGACTCCACATAACTGATTTCTGCTGTGTTGCCAAAGCAGACCTACATGTCCCGGATATCTACCTCTGCCTGGCAGATTATCTCTTTGCCAATAGCAGCGTCGACGATTGTATTATAGAAGAATCGGCAGTGGGAGCAGAGAACTGGTGCTGCAAGACTGACCAAAATGCTCTCTGAAATCTAGAGTAAATAGAGGAACAATGCCGGGAGGTTTTTGTATTGCTCTATATCACTGTGAGAGGCGAGCTCCTGCTTTGTAGACAATAATAATCTCCAGCATCTTCAGCTTCAACCCTGCTGATCGTGAGAGTGAAATCGGTCCCAGACCCACTGCCGCTGAACCGGTCTGGGATCCCAGAGGCACGCGTGGAAGCAAGATAGATGAGGAGCTTCGGCCTTTGTCCTGATTTCTGTTGGTACCAGGCTAGGTAGTTATTGCTACCACTGATGAGGCTGGAACTGGCTTTGCAGCGGATAGTGATTGTGTCTCCAGGAGACACTGCCAGGGATTCTGGTGTCTGAGTCATCACAATCTGCCCACTGGAGCCTGAATTAAGAAATGGAACATAAATTAAAATATATGCATGTGTAGTGTCTCTAATCTATACATATAGCATAAACATACATGATTTATATGCACATCATCAAATATATAGTTAATCAAAACAATATTTATGAATATTTCAGTGATTATTCATATTTGAGAATGACGCTGACATTGTTTGAGCCAGGTTTTTTCATTGCAATTTTTCAATTTCTTGTATTTTGCTCAGATCTCTTTTCCCATGTAGATGCCTTTAGGTGCCATTGTTTCACAAGTTGCTGTGACAAATGGCAGAATGGTTATTTGTCCGTATACAACATTTCTAGTGCTTTTAAATTTTTCCACAGATTACTGTGGTTGAAATGATCCAGACCCCCTTCCTTTGATCCTTACCTGGGGCCCAGAACACTAAGAGCCAGATGAGCTGAGTCGGTGAGATCATCTTGCTACGTCTGACTGGCCTGGTACTGATCAACAAATGCTAACAGTGATTTGGAACATTTATAAGAGTACAGAGCTAAAGGACAGCGTCACTTGGGTGTGAAATATGCAAATTGTGGTTCAGAGATGTAAATTGCTAGCTGACCAAAATGCATGCAGAAAAAGAGAAGTAAAAGGTGTCAGGGATGAAATAGGCAAGTGCTAGCTGCTGGGCCCTCATCCTCAGTTTTCTGTTGATAGTGATGGTGATACCCAGGTGTTTCCTTCCATCTCAGAAGCCAATTTTGATGGATGCCAACCAAGCCCATATTAAGAGTATATCTACCTTACCAAGATTTGTCACCCAAAACTGCCTTTTGGGGGCAAAATAGTGAGAGCATATGCACTGCAATGTGACTTCCTTTGGGAAAAATTCCTAGTTTTGGCAAAGAAAAACTTCCATTCCTTCTTTACCTCTCCCCTCTTTGTGGGCAAAGGGCCAGTGTAGACTCTGCTGATTGTTTTGTGGACAGAACTGGCTTCTGCCAGTATCCCACAATGCCTGTCCTGATGGCTCTGCTCAGTGTTTTGATCTCTGCTGACCTGCAGGAATGTCCCTCACCCCTTTCAAGGCTTCGGGAAGTATCTGAAAGCTGAGTGTGCTGTTCTGTTTGGGGAAAAAAGAGCAAATTATTGGACTCCTCCTGTTCTTCTCTGCACTAGGAAAACAGCAGCACATAGTGCTGTGCTGCTTTGATGTTCCTCAGCACAGAGAGCTCACAGCTACTCATAATGCTGCTCCCAACAGCTGGGAAAGCTGTGGGAGAACTCAGAGGGAATCCTAAAATACAATCAGCTCTGCCTTCCCACTACACTGCACTGTGGGGTATGGACACATAGTGCACTGCTCACATTGTGCGTGATGGTGACTCCAGCATTGGCAAGATCTGTCAGGAGAGGGAGCAAATGTGAACACCTTTTGGTGATTTGTTTTGCTGACATTGTGTTGGGTGTTGACATTATCGACTTTTGGGAAAGGACATTAGTTCAGTTGACACAGCTTGATAGTGGAGACACTCCCTCTGTTATAATCTCTTTCCTTCCCTTTGTGTTTAAATGGCATTTCTCAGGCCAGAATAGAAGTATTCTCAGCTTGTCAGTGTTGCTTCACTGCTGGCTTACATTTAATGGCCTCAGGATCATTGTTATACTAGGAATCACCTCTCTCATAAAAGACAGGACTATGCAGCACTTTAAAGACTAACAAGATGGTTTATTAGGTGATGAGCTTTCGTGGGCCAGACCCAACCATCTTGTTAGTCTTTAGACTTAATAAGATAAATATTCTTTGATTTAGGGACACTCTCTGATATGTAAATGTCCTAGATTTAAACATTTGCTTTATTGGGATAATCAGTAAGGGTATGTCTACACTACCCCGCTAGTTCGAACTAGGAGGGTAATGTAGGCATACCGCACTTGCAAATGAAGCCCAGGATTTGAATTTCCCAGGCTTCATTTGCATAAGCGGG